TGTGCTGAAAGGCGGGGCAAACGTTCGCTGGGTCAAAGTGACGATGATCACACACGTATGTTATTTGCGTAACTTCGAAGTTCGCGCGTCCTCTTGCATTGTTCCACTCAGTCTGTACATTCAGGTTTTCCGGTGGCTTGAAAAACTGTCGCTGCATGAAGGGCACTTCATCTGTCGCTGCGGATGTCTGTCCGCTTCAACAGCCTGGCACAGCACACTTCCCGGCATGTCGACAGTTCTTCCGAAGGAGCAAAAATGTACTGTGAACAATTGTTTGTTCAGAGTCGCCATCCGCTTTCTCTGCAGAAACCAGAACCACGTAAACATTATCGTCTGCTCTGTCATGGTTGACTTTTATTGCAAAAGGTCTCTTACGAAAGATCAAGTCATGCTTTTTTTATATTTAGGTTACTTAACGGTGAGCGTTCACCTTTATTAGCAGCAAAAAAATACACAATCACCTGCAAGCGCACGCCATGCTAGCCACGTCACTGCTCTGAACGATGCCGGCTGGCTAGGTGGCAGAAAGGGTCACGTGACGGTGTTGCAAAGCGATGCCAGCGACACTTGGAATCTGACAATCTGTGTTCCCTCTTCACGTGAGTTGTCTAACTGGCCCCATTCAGTAACGTTGATTGAGGTTTAAAACAAACCTCGATATAACGATACCAGATACAGTCAAGCCCACATATAACGGCCCCACTTAAAATGAACTTTTTCTTAAAACGAACAATATCTGCATTACCGTGAAAGTATACATTGGTTCAATGGCACAAAATCGCACTTACAACGAACGTTTCCAAGCGCCGCTGATCGGTTACAGCGAACGGAGTCAGCGGTCTGCCGACTTTCCGGGAAACCAATTTTGACCACTGATCAGGTATCGGCGAGATGCCCAAACATTCTTATTGTTAAACGCCGACCCGTCCTCCACGACCCTCTAGTTGCCGCTCTACCCTACCCATGGAGGAAGAAAAGCTGTTTCTTTCCTTCATGCCCCGACTGCTTTTTGTTATGCACCTCTCTGTCCTTTGTCCCCCCGCTACTCTGAGCACCCCGCATCACCAGACAAGGTCCTTGTTTTCACACTGCCACCGATCTTTCGAAGCCCGGTCAGCCATCTACCCTGTTTTTGATTGCTAGTACTGTCGTTGGGGTCACCGGCCTAGAGTGACCAGACCATTTGCCAACATCGTCGGCCACCGACTGTATCCGATAGTCTGCATCTAGTGCACGCGTGTACACTACTCCATCGACTCTGATAATTTGCAATTCGTTTCGTGTTGAAGACTTGTTCTCGCTCACTTCGCACTCAGCTCAGCATACCTTTAGTGCGCGTGCTGAAGCGCGAAAACAGCTGTTGATTTGCGTGGAACGAATCGCGAAATATCGAAGTTCGTGAAGCCACGCAAACCTGCCGGCGCAACAAAACAATTTCTTTACCATGGCCGCCGATTCTTCAAACACTGCCGTGCGCACCGATCCAGGCGGCCACGCTTTTGACTTCTACACGCACAGGCACCCTTTCCAAATTTTCCTACATGTGAGTTTTGCGGACCTTTCAAGCAAGCTATCCAACCTGCCTCCTTCCCATGTGTTACGGTTTTCAAGGTCGCCCTCCCATCGCATCCTCCCCCTCTTTATCACAACTCCTTGCCCTTCTCTCGCAAGTCTGCTCTCCTCTCTTGATCACAATCCCTTCGCCCATCTCCACCGCTTTGTGACACCCCCCCACGCTGGCTCGAATCAGTTTCGTTTTCTGACTGAACTGTTTCAGGGGTTCGGGCATGTGTGTCGCGTGTGCCCGTCTTGCTCGCTCTTGGTGTGCGTGTGTGGTCATGATGGCCGACGGAAGAACTAGCACGCTTTTTCCTGCCGCTCAACAAAACGTGGAAAGTGTGACCGCTTGACTTGAATGTTATCCGCGCATTAGGTGCCGCATTGCGGAGCGCTTGCTCATAACTGTTGACCACCTGGCAGCCAACTTGCTGCTTCGGGCGTCCCGATATTCAGCTGTGGAGATGGTGAATATTTCGTGGGCGGCGGTGACGGCTACGTGCGCGCGAAACTGTTTTCGCTAGGCCGACTTTGTTGACATCGGGCCTGATGTCGAACCTGAAGCTTCCGAACTGCGGTGGCGATTTGTGGCAGCGCGTCACCGACTTCGACCTGGGAGAGCGGGTGGGACATCTGTTGCGATGGTTTAATTACGGCCGATGATGACGCCGACACTGCGGAGCCGTGCGCGGATTGGGGCATTGTGAATGAAGTACGTGGCGAGAGCCATTGGGAGGAATCGGATTGCAAGAACGACAAAGCTTTGGAGCCAGTGCCTCATGAAGCTTATGCCACGGGCCTCGGCGAACGAGCAACCTGCCATTTTAAATAAACTCAAGACCACCCTTATCGCTTCTGCTCTGCGAAACATGTGCATCACGGACTTTTTGGGGGCAAAAGAAGTTTGTGTTTTCACTCGCAACTTTTTTTAAAAGCTGTGTTTCATGTACTTCGGGATACAGCAAATGGATGCCGCGTCACGCTCAGGTTCGTTATAAGCGGGCTCGACTGTATAACAAAATATCGGTCGTAACGAACTAAGTGAAAGATAGTCTTGCAGTAGATATAGTGTTAAAAATAAACCTTTGTTTTGATTTTCCAGATATAACAAACTTATGTTTGTGTTAGATGTAACTTTGTTATAATGAGGTTTGAATGTACTGTGATGTGGAAAAGTGACCTGAAAATGAAGCTGCCCTTTATTGCACGAACTGAAGCCAACCACAGCTTGGCGTTCTTATTGATCCACTTTGTTGTTGTTTTCTTTTCAAAAGTCATGCCTTCAGGCGATTTAATTACTGGGACACAATTCAATCATGTATTGTGCCACTTTCATAAGAATAGTGTTCAGAGCAAGAAAGGTGCACTGCACTGCAATTGTCTGTTGACAAAGCTGTCATGAAGACAAGTTACTTATTCATTTACTTATTGATCTGTGAACTGTCAAGGGTTGTAGAGGGTCATAGCAGAGGGGACGATACAGTTACGTATATAAAAAAATGTGCAAGATACATAAATTCACGTAATACTTGACATTTCTTGATGAAATCAGATAATCCTTGAAGTGCAGTACAAAACAATTTGAAATTAATCGACGTTTTTCAAACTATGTACAGTGAACATGAAGTAATTTATCTCGCTTATCACTGTAAAGTTTTAATTTGGCACTCTCGTAAGTGCGCCTCCATAGCATTTTCGAAGCTGGCGACATCTTCTAAAAGAACAATGGCGTTTGGTGGTTTGTTCCACAGTTATATCACATCTAAGAAAATGAATGCTAAAGTGTATCAGTATTTGTTTAGGGCAGTTTCAGCCAACACAATGGGTGAATAAAATACCCTTAAACACTACAAATGGTTAATTCATGCCATGGTATTGTGAAACGGAAGTGAGAGCCAACTGGATTGTTCACGACTGGAATACCGTATTTACTTGCGTAATGAACTCACCTTTTTTTTATTTAGAAAAATGAACATCAATATAGAACGAGTGTTTATTACATGGGAGATAAAAAACTATCACTGAGCTATACAGCAAAAATTTCGCATGTCGGTCCAACCACGGCCGGCCTTTGATTCAGAGGTAGGACTACGGTGCAACAGAAAAGGAAACTGTCCTCGCTTTGGCTTGTGAATTCATGACAAACTTTTTTTGTAGCGTAAAGCTCGTCTTTTTTTCTCCAGTAACGCACGCGCACGGATTGACGCTGAAAAGTTGTCCGGCCACTCGGTTCTCATGCTCCAGCGCATGCTCGACTAAGTTTAATACTAGCCATGTAGCTAGCGTACCGGCCGATCATGCCCTGCGCCGCGGGTGTCCAAGAAATTTCACTACAAGAAACTAAATAACAAAAATGCACTGTCGAATAGCGAGGCAGGCAGGTTGCGGGTGCGCATCGTGGCGTGGTGGGTGTGGTTGCGGTGTTAGTGGGCATAGTAATGGCACGGTTGCGCTTTGTTTTTTGCTTTGTTTTCATGCTGCTGTGTTTACGTGGCACTGTTTGCAAAGAGGTTTCTTCTGCATTTGACAGATAGTGCTCTGCCACAAAAGACGCAATTTTTGAATTTTCATTGACGTTGTTTGCACTCGTGCTGCTGGCACCTGTTTAGAATGGTTCTTGAAGTATGTTTTGACTTTCAATGCCTCATTATTTTGTGATATAGTGGCATGATTTAACCCTGTTTCGATTGCCAATGGCACTGGCTATTGCACTGAATAAACAAATACTTTAATAAAACATGGAATTTATTCAAGAACCTACGTGGTGGTGGGGGGTTTATTATGTGAGTGGCTTCGTTATGCGACTGAATACATTATTAGTGTTGAAAAGCTTCCATCTATCATCTAAGCTTGTCTCTCTTTTCAAAAAACTTCAGAGGTATCCCACATTTTGTGGGCTACCTCCGAACTGATTGGGGTTGCCCTCTTGTGATGGCCAGTGTAAATCTGGGCATTGGCAAGAATTGGATAAGCCATAGGCAGCCTATCAGGTAAGCATATGTTTTCCGGGTTGAGATACAGACTGGTATTGGTGGTTGCTTGTCTCTGGTCACATTTATTTTGTCTACAAATTGAAGTTTGCATCATCAAGGTAAATTTTTGAATGGGCTGGGAATTTCGCAAGAATACCATGCGCCAGGAGCCATTTTTCCTGTTAGCTCTTTTTATGTAACGTGTCATTAAAAAATCACGAGCTATCTATATTCCAGGCGCACTGTGATGTGATACCACACTAACGAAGTTGCATATTAGGTCAAAAGTACAATCATGCGGTGATGTCTAGCAACTGGCTTGCTTCAGTGACGTGAAACTTGTGGGTAGCACAAAGTGCCTGATAACGAGACACCAACGAAAAAAAGAAAATGTGGATATGCAGCGCTGATGGTGCAGCTGTGTGCCACTGTGAAGGAACGGTAAGCAGTGAGAGAAATTTCGGCTCCCAGGAAATCCGTGGCGCTGCGACGAGGAATTCGCCAAGCGCCGAAACAAGTTGCTGCATTCGCTCACCTCACGAGTGGCCAATCACGGGCCGGGGATTGAGCTCCACGATGTCGTCATCACCGAGTGTGCCTCGCCGCCCGAGTGGAAGGTGGGTGAGTTTGGTCTCACGTTCTTGGCAGCACAGTTTGTTCTCTAAAAAATTGGGGAGGTGCCTGAGCCTTTGAGGATGAGGCAACGTGTACACTTGCGCAGCTGCACACTTTGACGATGTTGTTGCTGCTTATGTCGATGACTAGTTGTTGCTGAGTGCTCTGTGGTCCTTAAAGCTCTCTCTTCAATTAACGTTTCCATGCCTGGTACGATTCTTAGCAACGCATTGTTAGGTGCATTAAAGAGATTCCTCGCTAAACATGAGATACGTGTTTAGTTTTTTCTGAGACGCTTTCCAAACACACAAGCACAGACATGGTTCTGCGGTAGAAGGCTTGCTTGCCACACGAAGACCTGGGTAAAAATCCCACTAGAAGCAAAGATTTTCATTTATTCATTTGTTTCGCTGAGTTTTTGCTCACAACCATCGACGCCGAAACCAGATCTTCTGTGAAACAAGCTTTATACTGCTATCATGTGTTAAAATGCCAAAGCTGGATGAAACAAATTAGCTCTCAATGTAACTAAGTTAATAATGAACTTCGTAACGTACCCTTCTTGTGCTGCTTCTACAAAGCATAAGCATTCTACATCTAAGACATCACAGCTTACAGCGACTTGACATTATGCAATTCATTCCTTTTGATGGTGAAATGCTGGATACGGGAATCAACTAGGACTTCTTGTGGATACTTGGTGATTTTTGTATTTTCTAACTCGTCTTAGCAAAGTGAAGTTATGCTTATAATAGTTATAACAAGCTGTGTTTCTTACATGGCCTTGTGAAGTGGGGCCACCTCCAGGACATCGGTGTTGAAAAAATTGGAGGATGCTTGAGCTTTGCCTTCAAGAGTAGATCGCGATGGTGCAATTGAGCTTCATGCGCATGGCCATCTTAAGGGGGGACGTGCCTTTCAAAACGAACTTTCTTGTTTCTTGTTGGATGTTGATGAAAATTGGCACAGACAGTAAAAATGGCCTCACAGGGCTTCCGTAAAAATTTAGAGGCGATAACACAAAGACCTAACGAGATACTGTAGAATTTCGATGACACGATTAAGGTTAAGGTGAATTTTGCGATGATAGGAATTTTAAGGTTGTTTCGGATGGCCTACATTATATAAAATAGGCCATAATTCTGTCATATAAGAACAGTTTCCTCAGCCGCCGCAGATGATACGAATGCGCGAATGACCAGTTCACACGAACGGCGCGACGTGGAGTGGCCACCAGCGCACCGTGACTGCCGGTGGTTTTTAGGGGCAAAGTGTGTTAGGGCGTGGGTCCATCTATCCTCTGTCGTTGTCGTACATAGCCACCACGATGCGAGATGGGGGATGGTGGTACTTGGAGTGTTCACTAGACAGATGCACGGACGGACGCATGGATAGACGGACAGACAGACTAGCAGACGAACAGATGAATGGATGGATGTGCGGAGCAGGCATCTGCCACAGGGGATGCGAGATGGCGGTAGTTGGAGTGTTCACTAGATGGATGCATAAGACGGACAGACAGACTAATAGACAGATGGATGGATGTACGGATGGACGGACGCACGGACAAATGGACGGACACACGGATGGTCGTGCGGACGGACGAAAGCAAGAACGAACGGGCGGACGGAAGCACAGGCGGGCTGAAGGACGCATCGCCCCACTCGTCATCATTCACTCCGTGGATATGCAGGGATTTTTTTTTGCACCCCACTTTTCTTCACCTCTTGCGCTGCCAACAAACATGGGGCTTTAGCGCAAACAGCGAAAAAGCCTTACATTCTCTCCCCGTCGCTGGGCTGTGCCCTGCCCCGCCCCCATGCCTCCACAAGAAAGGGAAAACCACTTGTGTGCGGCTTGGGAAACGAGTTTGCGAGGAGAAGAGGGACAATAGACCAATGTACAGGCATGCGTGGTCTCTCTAGTTTCCTGCCCTGGTCACGTGCCTGACAAGGTACGTCAGCCCTTTCTAGGCGGCTAATTGTTTTTTTTTCCTTTTTATTGCAACTCCGTTTTCACATGGTATGGGGGCTCTCCTAAACACCAGTTTTGCTGCTCCAACTGCTGTGTTCGTATCGTCTTTGTGAGTTTTTGGACTGCCTAAGCTTGCCACATACAGGAAGACCGATGCGTTCGTTATGTCTGCAAGACGCGCCACATTTCCTTGCGATGTCCTGGGATAGTGTGACGCAGGACACGATTGCAAACTGTTTTCGCAAGTGTGGATTTTTTCGGGACAAGATGCGGCTCCGGCAGAAGATAATGAAGAGCCTGACGCTGATATGCACATCAAGGGTTGGGAGAACCTCGAAACTGAAGCTTCGGTATGAGACTTCGTCACCGCGGACGATAACATAGCGACCTGTGGACTGCAATTTATTGAAGAACTGGTTGACGAGGTTAAGGAGACCGAGTCCGACGATGACGCTGAAGCCGGGGTGTGTGACCTGCCGTCGACGTCGGAAAACCACCAAGCCCTCAATGTCCTGCGCTGCACCATAAGCACCAGAACTGTCGGGGAAGAAACCGTGGCACGGTTTTATGTCTTTCAGGCGGCGTTCTTGAAGGACGATGAAAGCAGAAAAGTGCGAAAGAACATCATGGACTTTTTCAACAATAAGTGATTGATCGCAATAAAGTTGTCATTCGTTTTCATGATCACCTGTATCTTGTTTTGGTTCATGCGAATTAGGGATGATAGGAGTATTTTGCATGTTCTCTTCGAATTCAAATCATCGAGATTCTACTGTACAAATTATTTCTTCACTGAACCTCGTGGAAGGGCTGGTGGATTTATGAAATGACAAAAATAGTTCGTAATTCTGCATTCAGCAAACATGCTGAATGCAGAAGGGGGTTGCGTTTTCAAAATAATTTTTTTGCGACTCTAAATTTTGTAGTTAAACATTTTCGTCATTGACACTGCAATGAGCAAACCCTACGAAAAATTCTTTAGGAGTGAAAGGCAAAAACTAAGATCGTAGCCCCCTGAAGCACAGTTGAAGGAGCGTTACAAAACAAATGGAATCGAAATCTGTGCTGTGGTTGCCAAGATATCTGCTCCACAAGCTGAGCAAAATGCCATAAAAACGGTATTGAGAAAACTGCTTTTGAAGTTTCACCTTGTCTGCACGTCTCTAAAACATCTAAAAATTGTGATCTTAGGTTTGTCTTGTGATATTTGACTTCTCAGGCATCTGGCCTCTGCCCAGCGTGCCTTTTTTGCCTATACTTTTTTTTCATAACCTTTTGTTTTTTTATCTACAAAGACCAAGTATGGATTTGAGACCAAGTTCTCTGTATGAAGGAGTGGTGTTAAAGTAGGCTTGATAGAATAGATTGTAATTGAATAAGGGGATATACTGAAATGATTAGACTTATTTTTTTGTGTTCAAGCTGTCATTAGCGTAATTCTGTACTTCTTGATTACAAATAATTACTGAACATTTTTTTACAGAGAGAAGTTTATTGCATAAGAAAAGTGGCACACACAATGACAGCCTACACCTTCTTTTTAAGTGACTAACAGTTATATGGCAGAAAACTGGTGGTGCATGAATTTTTTAGCAGTTTATTTATTGACGTGAGTCCGGCATATGAAAACTCGAGCCCCTGCCTTATACATGCTCTTTTGCCACTCTAGCCCTGAAACGCATCATCATATGGCCGGCCACAGGAACGCTAATCTACGAGGCTTTCATTGTCTCGGAACATTCATAGACGCTCGCGGCGATACCAAGCGAGGCTCCAAGCAAGTCTAAATTGCACCACAAAAGCTTATTGGCAGTTCCCATATGACCGTTAATTGTGCGGCCACATGGACAGCGCAGCTGGCACGTGATACAGTTGCCGGCGGCGTTTGGTGATTGTGTGCAAAATGTCTACATACCTACGATGACAAAAAGCTGGCGTCCACTGCGCTTGTTACCGCATCTTCAAATGCCGACGCGCGAAACTGCTAGCCGCTTTTCCAAGCAGTCCTTGACCATTGAAGTGGGGGGGGGGGGGGGGGGGTTGATGAGCTTGACAGTGGGGTCAGCTGCCGATGCGTAAAATGCCCGTCCATGGTTCCGAGGAGCTAGCGAGTGATGTGCTTCATTGCTTGTGAAGAAGCATGTTGCCACGAGTGCTTTAGCGTGGCGTTCTTGCCCGCAAAGTTCATCTCGCCGTCAGTGGAGTTAGGCCTAAAGACAACTTCAATGACGTGCTGCGCTCGTAGACCACGCGCCCGCTTGTAGTAATCTGATCGTGAATTCGCTTACAGCTTTGTTGCTTGAGAAGAAGCACGTCGCTACGAATGCGCTAGCGGGCCATTCTTGCCCGCAGTCTCGCTCTCAACAGAGTTTGGCCTAAAGACGACTCCGATGACGCGCCGCTCTCGTACACTGCGCACCTGCACCTAGTAATCTGATCCTGCATTCGCTTACAGCGTAATTATATCCTAAGTGATTGTCGAGCCGTGAAAACGTCACGAAGTAGCGATTTTTGACAGCCATGTTCTCGCGACGCACAAGCAGCAGACGACGATCTCCCGGAGCGAGCATCGGGTCAATGGCAAGACGACCTGGGGCAATATGGCGGCCACAGCCAATTAGGGGCCTCGAGACGACCTTCAGATATTAGCTTTTTGTGTGCTTCTTTTTAAAGGGAGGAGCCAGCTGAGGCAGGAAATTCGAAACAAAGAAACGTTCTTTCCGATGAGCCCAAGAAGACGGCTCCCGGCTGCACCCTCGCGAAGCTATAATTTTTTGAAAATTGACGTTTTCTCACCATTTCTAGAAAAAATTTTGCTACCTAGGAGGGTCAAACGAATTTTTCGAAGCACTTCTGCACGGTTTTCAGTGTAGATATTTTGCAATCAAATAGAAAAATGGTTCCAGAAAAAACAAAATTGATTCATTTGCTCTTTTTCGCGATACCAAAGCCGCGTCCCCCACTTAACTGCTAGCTTGCTTCAGTTCTCGGTACATACCTCAACCATGCCGTAAAGAAACGAATGATT